AGTTGAGTTTACAGCCAATAAGGTTGAGGGTTTAGGCTTAAGGTTTCGGGTTTAGGGCTTTAGGGTTTCAGGCGTTACGGCTTCGGGAGCTCTTCGGGGGCTTTGCAACTCGTCGAGCTTTGTGTGAAAAAAAAAGATAGTCGCACCAGGAGGCTTAGGAGCCGGAGAGTTCAGGGTTTCGGGTTTGGGTTTACTAAACCCTAAACCCTAAACCCTAAATTAGGGTGGAGTTTATAGGGGCTCTGCTGCATAGAGTGCAAAGTTTCATCGGGATTCTGCGATGCGGCCCTGCCAGGGTTTATACAGGGGATTAGGACTTAACCTGTAAGTCCCCGAGCCTTCAACCCCAAACCCCGAGAATCCTTGTGAGTTGACGTGCGCGGCCTTGTCGTACCTGTCGAAGATGGTGAAATCGGTCTGCTTGTCCTGGCTTCAAAACGACGAGCGGCTTAGCGCTGGGGGTTCGAGTACCGTGGGTTCTGAGGTGCTTCTTATGCAATTTATAAGGGGATATGGTCGAGGTCTAGCCCTTGTATGGGGCTTCTGTTACTTACTAGGCCCTAAACCTCTGGACATTCCCTGCACTCTGAGCCCAACAATCCTGAGCAAGTTCTATTACATAGACCTCGACCTAGGGAACTCAACACCTTGGGGTTAGGGTCTAGGGTTTGGATTAAATCGGGGCGTTGTAGTACAGCCTAAAGAGAGGAGAGCTTGGAATTTCCCACATCTTTCTTTCTGCCTGAAGTCTTCGGGACTCGGGGGCAAGGATCGTGTGGGCGCAGATAAGCCTGCTTTCGCACTGTGATGTCGGCTTCAGGGGTGTCGGAGTTTAGGGTTTATTGTTTAGGGTTTAGGGTTTAGGGTTTAGGGTTCAGGTTTTGAGGTGTGGGATTTGGGGCTTGGGGTTTGGGGTTTAGTAGATGTGCCAGTATACTGAATGCCACATGAGAAGTAGATTGAATCGTCTATGGCCGAAGCTTGTGTCCGGTGCCCTTCGCCCCAACACCCCGGAGCACTCCGAGCCCAAGCGTTCATGGCAGATGCATACACCCAAATATAGCTTAGGATTTTGGGTTTAGGCTTTAGACGTCGTGGCTCGGCCTCTAGAGCCTGAAGCTTACTTCCCAAATGTCCACGGCGCAAAAGTTCAAGCTTTCAGAATAAGACAACCTCATACTTACAAGAGCCCAACACTGGAAAGTTTGGGCTTGAGCCACTAAGAAGTCAGGCCCTGAACTTAACAGCTCAGTTCAACCGTCTGAATCCAGTTACACTAACCAACGACGCCCGATGCAGGCACCCGAAGCATGTAGAGAGCTGTCTTCAGGCCGTTGTAGCCGGCCTCACTTTGCACGCTACCCCGACGGGCATCGGCTTGTTTCCCATGCCTCCGCCCCCATTCAAATCCCAAAGCCATGTTTCAAGCCTCCGAACATCGGGTCCGGGTTGAGCCTATTCCCGCAAGTTCAAAGCAATCATCGCCCTTTGCCCACGCCCCCGAAACCCTAAACCCCTTGTTTCCCGGAGCCCCACTGAAGCCTTTGGGCGGGGGACTCAAGTTGAGGAGCTGAAACACAGCTCAAGGCTGAAGGGGCCCCCACAACTGCATGGGGAAAAGGGAACTCTTCGGAATTAGATGCAAGGCGTACAGGGTCATACATCGTGCTAGCCTGCAGAAACCGATGTGCACAATTTCGGTCGAGAGGCCGACTACTCGCCTCCGTATATCCTGTGGTCTGCCGGCCTAAACCCTAAGCCCTTAACCCC